TTGTGGCCAGGTCCGCGCTGAGCCGGCCGGCGCAGGGCGTCACCTTCCGGCCCCTGAGGGAGCCGGGCCTGTGGATGTCTGAGGTAGCGCAGTGGCTCCCCCATGGGCCCGGCATCTGCGCCGGCTCCGGGATCAGCGCTAAGGAGCTCGGGGATCGGCCGGGTGTGCAAGCAACGCTGGTGTCTCGGTGGTCCCGGGCTCTCCGCAGCCTTTGCCTCAGACCTTCCATCGCAAGAACGGTGATCGCGCCTTGATGGTTTTTTTCTCTTGATTTCAAGTTTTCCCAATGGCGGAAGTAGAGATTGTCCCTGTCTTGCCGTCCCCGGGGCGGTAGGTGCGGAGGCTGTGGCCTGATGGCTGCAGAGCTGTGCCTTTGCGATGTGGCTGTGGCGTGGAGAGGGTGATCGGTCTCGGAGCAGCGCCGGAAGCACACTGAGGCGGCCTGCTGGGTTAGGGAGCAGGTACGCAGGGCACGCGGGCGTACTGTCTGTCCCTGGTGTGAGTCTGATCACAACACAGACCCGAGCCCTGTGGTTTAGGGTGGGAGCGCTGGCCCGGGGCTCCAGGGTTAAAACCGCAGCCCCTCGGAATAATTTAAGAGTGACGGTAACCTCTGATGACGAGCAATACAGGAGATCGAGTCTAACTTGGAGAGCTGTCCTGCAGAAACTTCACAGGAGGCATGTAACTTTAAGTATTGCAGTAACCACATTAAGAAGAAGAAGAAACAAATTCAACCTTAAAATTCATTTTAGTAATGCATTTTACTACTGTATCCAAAGCATTACCACTTCAATATATAACCAATAGAAAGAGTTATCAGCGAGCTGTCTTAGGGCTTTTTTTCCCTATCGGGAATTCTAAGTGTGGCAGGAGGTTCCACGTTTGGTCTGCCTCGGTCTGGACGCTTCTGTTTCACTGGAGATATTTGATGTGTACTTGTTTCATAAAATTAGTTCAACTGGGAAAGTTGAGTCACATACTAAGTTGTAAATATACTTTTACAGTAAGCGAATCAAGTGTCAGTTTTTCATTTTAAATTCACAACAGATTTTTATCTAGTATTTTAAAATGTATTATTGGTTTAATAATTGAAATAAAAGTAGTTCCTCAGACGCATTGGTCTTCTTGCCACTGCTCGGTTGTCGCATGCGGCTGGTGGCACTCACAGGAGACCACTCAAGCATAGCTTGAGTCAAGACTACAGTCCCTCAGGCAGGCGGCAGGAGGCTGCAGGACTTGTCTGACCGGAGCGGTCAGGCACCTACTGAGCCGGGCACACCGAGGAGCCGGCGCCTGCCTCCCTCCCTCCCTCCTGACCAGAAGGTGGTGCCGCCTCTGCCTTCCGATGGCTGGGCTACTGCGCATGTCTGTTCATGTGCACCCACATGTGCGAGAGAGAGAGAGAGTGTGTGTGTGTGTGTGTGTGTGTGTGTGTGCACGCGCGCACGCGTAGGCGTGCACACTTGGGTCCAGGTGAGAAGCCTGGGGATTCTGGGCCCCTCATGCCCATGTCCTCCACAGCCCTGCCTTCCCGGCCTCTGCGCTTCTCTGAATGTGAACCTTACAGAGGGAGACGATGCCTGCTGCACAAGGGAGACCCAGGCCCAAGGTGAGTGGCGCGTGCCCCCGTGCGGGAACACCCCATCGCCCTGCGGGCCGTGGCCCGGCTGCCCTCCTTCCAGCTGTCGTGCCCACAGCAAACTCCTGCAAACCTGGCCCCTCGCCTCGGAGGCTGGGCACCGAGGAGAGCCCCACGGCACTTGCACTTGGGGTGCACAGGGCCACTCGCCATTCCTGCAGCGTTCCCAGTGCTCTGCGTGCCAGGAGGAGCCCTGTGGGCTCTGCCGGTGTGAGTGCCAGGGGTGCCTGCCCGGGCAGAGGGGTTCAGCGCATGCCCCACACCAGCCCAAGGGTCTTGCTCTCTTCTGCGAGGCCCGTACTGGCATGGGAGCCCCACACAGCCTGTGTTCCTCAGGGTGCTTTAGCACTTGCCGCCGGAGATCAGCACGCCGGGCCGGGGGAGGCCGTCAGTGGTGTCACAGCGCGCGTCAGACACATTTCCCTGAGTGCGGCTTTTCGCTCTCTGTGCTGCTGAGCTCTTACTGTCAGTTCCTTTGCAGGGGTCCAGCACTGCGTGGCTCCTCTAGGTCATCTGTGAGGCTCTCCCGGGGCTGAAATCGAAGTGTTGGCTGACTGCGTTCTCCTTTGGGGCTTGGGTCCTCTCCGGGCTGGCTAGGATCTGGTAGAATTTAGTTCCTTTGTGCGAGCCACATAGCCCCTTTTTCCACCTTTTAGCCAAGCTAGCCTGGCCAAGCTCTGGATAATCTTCCTGTTTTAGGGTCTCTCAGTGTTAAGGTCACCTGGTTAGTGGCCTTGATCACACCTCCGGGGAGCTTTTTGTCCTGTGTGGCGTGTTCCTGTGCTCACAGCGCTGGGCCTCAGTTTCCCCATCTGTGTCAGTGCCGTGGCCCTGTTGGCAGTGCCTTATCCCAGCAAGTGTGAACCAGTGCGGTTAGGTGCTTCGCAAATGCCTTGCCTCGTCAGTGTCCCGTTGACCGGAGTTGCTGCGTATTTTATGCAACATAATGTTTAACAGCTAAGGTTATGTCTCATTGCATTGTATTTTGTGTGTTTAATACATCTGCCCCTTTGGCCTCAGAACTCCAAATGCTGATTGGACTTTTCCTGGCGGTGCCACGTCTCCCATGTTGGGAATGTGTCCATCATTTCTCCAGCCCTGTGCAAGCACAAGCCCGTGGCGAGTGGATGTTTGATGTTTCTCATTTCAGGCACTGGTGACGTTTTCAGACCTGGCCATCTACTTCTCCCAGGAGGAGTGGGAATGGCTGAGCCCCATGCAGAAGGAGCTATATGAAGAGGTCATGTTGGAGAACTATCGGAACCTGGTGTCGGTCGGTAAGGTCCTCCTCCCACCCATCCAGAACCAGCCTGCCGAGGGCCATGTAGCAGTCACACAGTAGTCAGAAAGGCGGAAGCCAGTTGTAAGTTCTCCAAATATTTTGTAGCCTTATTGGGGTATAATTTGCATACTCTCTGATTCACCCGTAATAAAATACACAGTTCACTGGTCTTTAGCATATTCACAGAGTTGTAGTCATCACCATGGTCAATATTAGAACATTTTCATTTCTCAGAAAGGAATCCTGCACCCTTTATCAATCTCTCTTCATTTCACCTGCCAACTCATTAGGCAACCACTAGTCCTCTTTGTGCCTCTGTGAGTTTGCCTATTCTGAGCCTTGCAAACTGGTGAAATTATAAGACAGTGGCTTCTTCCACTTAGCGTGATATTTTTGAGGTTCACCCTCAAAACATCCTCGCAGCGTGTTTTGTTACTGCATTCCTAACCGTTGATGGAGTGTGCTCCATTGTGTGGGGAGAGACCCCAGCTTTTTATCCACGTAATTGCTGGTATTTGGTTTGTTTCCAGTCTCTGTTACAAGCATGCTGCTGTGAGCATTCGTGTGTAGTCTTTATGTGGTTGTATGTATTCATTTCTCTTGGGTGGATACCTGTGGGGCAGGATTTCCAGGTCATATGAAAACTATTTTGGGGGGACACCCCAGTTATTTTGTATAAGGAATTGACAAGTGTTCAGAGGTGAACAGAGGACACTGATGTAACGTAGACACAGTCACCGGTTCTGGGGGTGGGAGGACAGAGAGCAGAATTTTGGTGTTTCGGGGATTTGAGGAAGGGTCCTGCAGAGCTGGGACTGGGACTTTGAAGAAAGGAGGGCGTGCACAGCCTGTTTTGTTTTTCTGAGGGAAAAATGAAGCCAGTTCTGGGAGTACAGGGGCCAAAAGAAATCAGATTAAACCAACGGAGCCCCTACTAGTGAATTTGGGCAAAGAGCAGCTGGCAGAGGTGGGGTGGATGGTGGAGCCTGTGCCCACCTTGACAGAGCAGCTCCTGTAAGGGTGGGATCCAGGGCTGAAAGGCAGCAGTGGAGCAACTGCCACTGAGCGTCCAACCAGTGTTAAGACAGTAGCTGGTTCTGTAGTTAGAAATGAACAGCTCTCCTGGCTGTAGCTCTCCTTCCATGAGATGTTTAAAAACCAAATCCTTTTTTTCCTACTCTGACACTGACCATGCGGTACAGAGCCTGGCACTAGAGTTGGGGTGGGGGGGTCCACACACGAGGCAGTACTCCCTGGAATGCCCGCTGGAGGTTCATTTCTGACACCACCTACCTGGAGAAGGCGTCAGGTCCAGTGACATCCAAGTCTGGGTGTCTTAGTTACCGTCTCAGTGCTGAGACAAAGTGCACAACACTCAGAGTTAAAGGAGAGGTTTATTTGGCTCACAGTTTGTAGAGGTTCAGTCCGTAGTTGGCCGGCTCCAAGGCAGGGAGGCAGGCAGAGGGGCACCGCAGAGGAGAAACAGTCCACGGCAGGCAGAAGAGAGCAAGGGACAAAAGACGAGACCAGAGGCCCTGCTTCTGTCCCTGTATCTTACCCAGGCTGCCCACCTGTACAGCAGATAGGACTCACACACCAGGGAGGGGCAGCCCTAAGCCTGCCCAGAACTGTGCCAGGTCATTCAGCGGGCTGAGTTACTAATCACACACCATTCGTCCCAGCATCACACATTCTAGATCCGGCCACCTCCAAAAATCCCCGCCTCTGGCTGCATGAGGCTTTGGGGGATGCCTAGACACAGCCACAGTAACTGGGCGTGGCATGTCTGACCAGTGGTCCTTGTGACCCCCGTGCCCTTAGGATCCATCATCTGTGACAGCAGCCCTCAGAATTCAGGGAAGCACTTAAGGCTGTCCCTTCGGTATGACAGAGGCACGGAGACACAGTGAATGTCCCGTGAGGAGATGCGTGTGCGGGCGTAGGGGCGGGGCCGCTGTCTGTGCTCAGCGTTCTGGACGCCCTGCAGACCCTGTGCTTTGGGCTCTTGGAGGCCTGGTCATTGGCTGTGGTGCTCCATCTCCAGCTTCTCTGTGCTCTGTCCCAGCCCTGTAGTCACGAGCTCTGGTCTCTGCAGGAGCCCCGGCCACAGCCTTCTCATCTCTGTACAGAAGATGCCACTCCAGAGGGGGAGTCTTAGGAGCTGTCTCAGGAAACAGGGGTGGAAACCAAATGCACGTTTCTCTGCAGTCACAGTGCCCTCAGCTGGTCCTCCGTGCCGCTCAGCCTCCTCCTGTTGGCTCGGGGCTGGTCCTGACCTCTGGTGCACGCCTCACGGGCCACTGCCATATGTGTCCTACGTCCAGGTCTTTGCCTTCGGAGGCCACGTGTCATCACCTTACTGGAGAAGGGGAAGGAGCCCTGGCTCGTGGAGCTGCCGAGGAGACCCTGGTGCCGCGGTGAGTGACAGGGAACTGAGGCGCACGTGTGTCCTGGCTGCTCAGTCAGCTCTGACAGCGCCATGCAGTGGGTGGCTTGGAAACAGTGGGGACTGATTTATTTCTCAGGGCCCCAAAAGCTGGAAGTCCAAGGTCAAGGCACTGTCTGGGGCTCTTCCCTGGGGCCCTGGTCCCCTCACAGGGCTCCACCCGAGGACCTAATCACCTCCCATCACGCGGTATCCAGCCTGGTTACTCTGGGCCAGACTCAGCGTTTGGGCCGTTGTACGGAAGGAGACATTCTGTGCAAGAGCTGTGTGAGTCCAAAGGGCTCCTCGCGGTGAGCTCTCCCCACTCCACACCTCAGAGTTGTGAGGCCCGTCGGAGGGGCCAGGTCTCAGGGTGAGTCCTTAGGTGGAGAATAACCGATATTGGGGAGCCCCTTCTTGGGCTGGGTGTCGGTGTGAGTTATTCGTAGCGGTGTGTGGGAGCTGCTGATCACGCGTCACAGAGTAAACTGGGGCCTAGCGAGGCGCAGTGACTTGCCCAAGGCCAGCCAGCAGGGAGTGGCGCAGAGTTGGGCTCGGAGCCCAGCCCCGCTGGGTCCCTTGTCCTTCCAGCAGCCCCTGCATCTCTGCTTCTGTGTTTCCCTTCTCGTGTTAAATAGCATGAGGAACGGTAGAGTCCAGTTTGTGGCACTTTTGTCATTCTTTTAAAAAGATGTCACAAGTTTTCCCCACGCCTCTTCTTTCTGGCTGCTTTTCACGGACTTGTGTCCTGGGCAGGTCGTTCTCTGGTTGGCCCAGTCCTTCGTCACTGACTGGACATGGCTCACGCCGTGCGAGCACCTAGGGGTCAGCAGTGTGATGATGTGAGCAGAGGAAGGCTCCCCTCCCTTCGGGGCTTCGGAGGGGAGGTCAGGAGGTAGCCGATAGCAGAACAGTACACTGGAGGCGCCCATCCTCCTTAGCGCGATACTGTTTTCAGGACTCCTGATGAAATGTAGCCGTATGACTTAAAATTAGAAAAAGGCAAAAGCAGATACACGTGGGGATCAGTAACTACACTTGTGTCGTGAAATTGTCGTTGTTACCCTAACATTCGTGTATTTCTGCTTTTCTCACATTTTGTTCTCATGTAATGTTCTGTGAGTAATCTGTGCATTGCATTCTGTTTAGATGCTCGTTTTGTACTACTAATGGGAACACAGTAAGTGGCGTGGCCTGTTTTCTGCAGTATTGAGCTGCAGAAGTAAGGGTAGGATCACTTTGAGACTCCAGGTACTTTTGAGCTGACTTCAGAATTACCACATTGCTGGTCCCAGTAAGAACCCTGGGCACCGACTCTAACGAGTTTCGCTAACGCACAGACTTTCACGGGCACAGCTAGAGGAGTGAGGTGCAGCCCCGGGGGCTCCTGGGGGCAGCACCTGAAAACTGCTCACTGTTGGCCCTGGATGGGCCCTGTTCGCCCTTTGCTGATTTTCCTCCATGTCCTCTCCCGTAGTAGATTGCGTCCTTGAGTGACCATAGGAGAGGTGACTCGGCGGCACCAGCCGCCACTTGGGGCCCAGTGTTGATTCCACTTCACCCTTACGAGTCCTGGGTACTGGCGCTAAAACTTTCCTCACTGCAGTAAATGAATAGCAGTTGGCGCTGATTCGCAGGCTTTGTGCTGAGGCCTGTCATCCACGACCTCATTGGATCCCCACAGTACTCCTGGGCCCCCAGTCCCAGCTGGCAGGTGGGAACTTGGGTCCTAGCTTAAATTACCCTCTGGCTGTCTAATCCGGGAGCCATGGGGTGAGGATTGGAGCCTGACCCTTTCAGGACCCCGAACAGACCCCCTGGACGTCCATACCACCCCACACGAGGTAGGCCATGTTGTCTTTCCCGATTGTTCGCTGGCATTTGTTTTGTTCTGTTTTTACTTGCTTGCCTGTAAATTGTGTCTTCACAATCTTTCCAACAGTGAGTTTATGTTTTTAAATGTTCCGTTTATGTGGGGAGTTTGAATATAGAAATACATTGATGCTGCATTTACTGCAAGTATGTCCGTCCCCACTCTGTCCTGTGGCTCGTTCTGCTTACCTCTCGTTTTTCTACTTGGTTATGTGGAACTGTGTTTTTACATTTTCGTGTGGTTAAAAGGATTGGCATTCACCTCATAATGTCTCCTGTTACTTATCGTTAGAAATTCACCTGTCTCCTAACATTTTGAATATATTGCATGTTATTTGGGGGGATCAATGCTTTGGCATGGAACACTGAAGTGATTCTGGGGTTGATCTTGGTGCGTGCTGTGGATCAGGGGCCTTTGAGATCTAAGACAGGGAGACGAGCTGAGGGAATGTGTTAGTGTTCGTTTCAGTTTGGGAGAGGACTGAGGCCCTGAGCAAAGCGGGGAACATAGAGGAAGGGAAGGAAGACCCTGCAGTGTGGGGTGGAAGAGTCCTGGAGAAATCCCGGGCTTCTTTGTTGTCATCTTGCGGTGCCGGCCCTGAGCCTCGGCCTCGCACTGCAGGCAGGAGCTGTAGCACTGAGCTCCGACCCTCAACCCTGGGTTTCTTGTCTGGCCGATGCCGCCTGCTTCACTGTGAAAACTTCTGTCATCGCCTTTCTTTAATTGTCCACTTGCCCACAGTGGCGCGTGGACTTCAGTAATGATCACAGCGAAAGCGCTCGTGGGCGGTAGTAATCCGTCTGGCCCTGGTACGCAGAATCAGTCATGGCACCATACCCGTTCTACACACGCGGAAGCCAAGACACAGAGTGGTTAAGTTACTGGCTCAGGATCACACGGTGATCAGTGATGGGTCTGCGGTTTGAACCCAGGAAGCCCAGCTCTGAGCAATGCTCTTAAACCCTAGCGGTGGCGAAGCCGTGGCACAGGTGCTGCAGCAGGCTGTTTATCATCCACTGCTCTGAAAGGTTCGCCATCACTGCCCCTAGGTTATTGCTGCTTAGAATTGTCAGTTTTGGAAGTAAAAATACAGGATGTTTATGGGGATGTGTGTATACTAAAAATTCTTCATTTCTAAATCTGAAATTCAAATCGAATGTCCTGAGTTGGGGGGGTGCTCTAGGCCCTTCCCTTAGTCTTCCTCCTTATCCCAGGTTAATCTGGAGTTTAAATCAGAAAAATCCTTGAACTTGCTTTTCCACCTGCTGGCGCACTGCAGTGGCTGGTTTTGCAGCACAATGTCATGCTTGCTCTTTCACCTTTATGCACCTCCAAAATATTGGGGTCCCTCCTGCCTCCTCAGAAGGGAGGTCTGACCCACTGCAGTGCTGTACCTCAGATGTATGCTGCAGGTCATGGATATAATTGAAAACTGTCTAGTATTGGGCAACAGAGGGTAAAAAAAAACAGACCAGGAGGGATTAGTTTTCCTAATATAGCTTATTTAACCAATATACCCAAAATATCATCTCTTTCGTATATACTCGATATGAAAATTATTAGTGAGTTTTTAAAAATAAATAAATAAAATAATTATAATGGTTGTTCTGCTACATGTGGAACAACCGCAGGTTCCCAGAGCTTTTCTTCCAAAGGTATTGAGCAGCCGAGCTTCGCAATTTTGGATTGTTCAGATCTCAGGAAGGTGAGCAGGCTGCTGCATCCGCACCCAGCAAGGGCCAGAGCAGCATCCCAAGTTGGACTTGCCAACATCTCTACCAAACACTGGGTCTGGTCTCCCTGAGTACATTGCATGAAGGCTGGAAGGGAACTTTGGGGCTTCTTGTTCAAATATCCAGACGTCAAAAATAAAGAAGTAAAGCTTTGGTCCATATTGGAGGAGATAAAGAACTGTTAAAAAAAGAAAAGAAAAAGACCAAAAACAAACAACAACAACAACAACAAAAAAAACCAAGAACAATAAACCAACCCAATGGAGAACACTTTGCATTGCATTTAGACTATTTATTACCAGGATTCCTGGGCCTGGCCACAGTAACAGATTAACAGACTTTTACATGGAATTGTTTAATTATTTGTACTTTTCATACCAGAAAATAAAAGTTCAGAATCTTCAAAAAAAAAAAAAAAAGAAGGAAAGCTTTGGTTGCCAGATAGTGTAATACTGAATCAACAGATAGAGGGGTGATGTATGTGCCAGCAATTTTGTACGTGTTATTTCCAGCTCTCACAAGATCCTGGGAGGTAGGTAAGTGTGTCCTTTTTTTTTTTTGTACTGGGGATCAAACTCGGGACCTTGCACTTGTGAGGCAGGCAGTGGCACCACTGAGCTAAATCCCTGGCCCTGTGTGCCCATTTTAAAAAGCATAATATTGGCTATGGAGGTTAAGAGGATTTCTTATGATGTGATCAAATGACAGATATTTCAGTACATCCCAAGTCCATTTCAAGCAGAGCTGTCCAGTAGAAATGTAATGTGAGCCACATATTTAATGGAAGTTCTTCTAGTAGCTATATTAAAGTAATTTTTGAGTTTTTTTTGTTTCAAAACATTTATTGATACATTTTAGATACACATAATGGCGATGATCGTCACAAGCAATTTGTACCTGTGCATGATACAATTTTTTTCCACACCCCCTTCCCTTCCTTATATACAAAAACTTTGTTTCCATTATTTCCTTTTATTTTCTCTTTTTCTCTTGTAATAGCTTTTCTAAAAACAGGTAAGATTAATTTTAATAACATTTTTTAAACCCAGTGTTTCAAAAATACTGCGGCATGTACTCAGTCTTTCCACAGTGAGATACTTTGTATCCCTTTTACTGTGCTTAGTCGCCTCAGTCTAGCACGTGCTTTGTACTCGGAGCACGTCCCCCATCAGGTGAGCCACGCTGCAGTGTCAGTAGCTGCCAGGGACTCGAGTCTCCCGCATTGGAAACAGTTCTGAAGCCTGTGTTTCTTTCATAGTTTCTAATCGGCCTGCCATGCACGTAGTTATTGTGGGTCAGAATGGACATTTGTGGCCTATCCAGTTGGTTTATTTTACTAAATAATAGATTTGTTCTCGTAAGCTTAATCGGTTACTTTTTTGGTTAGAACTTTTCCTGCTGCTCTGAGTTTAATATTTTTACCCTTTTAAATAGCTACTGAATTCCAATTGCCACCAGGTTGGTTTGTGCATTTTTAAAGATTTCAAGAATACTTTTTTGAACTTACAACAAAGAAATATAATTTATATCATAAAATTCACCCATTTTAAGAGTATAATTCTTTTTTTTTACATTTACCAATTTGTATAGCTATCATAATCTAGTTTCAGAACATTTTCATCGACCTGGTAAAACTCCTGTGCTATTTATAGCAAATCCCCATTCCTACCTCCTGACCCAGGCAATCACGAAACTTCTTTCTCTGTTGATTTGCCTTTTATGGACATTTCATACAATAAAAATACATTTATCGAATGAACTACCCGAAGAGTTGAATGTTACATAAAATTTATCATATAAATAACACTTGGAGTTGCTCACTTTCAGATTGCAAATTCTCCAGAACTGCAGTTGTGCAATTTTATGTGAAGCTCTTAGTATGGTAACTAAGGCTGTAATAAGACACTGAAAGTTACTATTATGGCTATCAGTGTTATTATTATAATCAGTAATAATGACTGCACTTATGCAAGCTTCAACCTTCCTACCCAGGAAAACAAACATTTAATTTCTTCTTGTCTTTCAGACTCAGCCTCTAAGTGTGAGACCAAGAAATTATTGCCAAATCAATGCAGCAAATCTAAGCAAAGCTTCTACCAAAGACCACTTTCTATACAAATAAAGATTCCCACAGGCAAGAGGGTAGAGTTACTCCGAAGAAGGGCCAAGAAAGGGCTTTCAGTGAAGAAATCCTTGAAATGCAAGGACTGTGGGAAAATCTTCCTTCAGAGATCGTCCCTCAGGCTTCATCAGAGTGGTCATACCAGAGAGAGGCCTTACGAATGCAGTCATTGTGGAAAAGTCTTTAGACAGATTGCATCCCTCATTCTCCACCAGAGAATTCACAATGAAATGAAAAACTATGAATGTGATCAGTGTGGGAAAAGTTTCAGTAGAAACATAACCCTTATTCTGCACAGGAGAACTCATAGTAAAAAGGAAATTTCTGAAAATGGGATGGCCTCAGATCTGAGCATGTCTCCTAGTGCCCACCCCAGCAGTCATGTGGTCAAGAATGCCCTCCATTGCAGAAAATGTGGAAAAGCCTTTAGTCATGTGGCAGCCCTTTTACTTCATAAGAGAGTTCACAGTAGAAAGAAAATACATAAGTGCAGGACATGTGGGAGGGGCTTCAAGAACAAATCAGTCCTTGTTACACACAAAAGAATTCATACTGGAGAGAAAGCCCACAAAAAGAAGGCCTTGGGTCAGAGTATACAGCGAAGAAGTGGACTTTTAGAAAATCCTTTTAGATGTAGAAAGTGTGGTAAGTCCTTTCATAGGATTTCACCCCTTCTGCTTCATCAGAAAATCCACATGTCAAGGAAACCCTATAAATGCAGTATTTGCAAAAAGGATTTTCAGCGGCTTTCAACCCTCTTTCTACATGAAAAAATTCATAAGGGAGAGATCCTCTATCGATGTAATAAATGTCCAAAGGTCTTCAAGCGAAATTCAACCCTTATTCAACACCTGAAACTTCACAGAAGGAAGAAGAAACTCTATGAGTGTAAAGAGTGTGGAAAGATGTTCTCCAGACCTGCAAACCTTAAAATACACCAGAACATACATTCTGAAGAGAAGCCTTTCAAATGCAGTAAGTGTAGTAAGGTGTTTGGCCGCCAGTCATTTCTTATGGAACATCAGCGAATTCATACTGGTGAAAAACCTTATCAGTGCGAGGAATGTGGGAAAGCCTTCAGTCACCGGATATCACTTACTCGACATAAGAGAATACACAGTGAAGACAGACCCTATGAGTGTGATCAGTGTGGTAAGGCCTTCAGCCAGAGTGCCCATCTTGCCCAGCATGCGCGAATCCACACTGGAGAGAAGCCATACATATGCAAGACCTGTGAGAAGGCCTTCAGTCAACGCACGTCCCTTATTCTGCATGAGAGAAGTCACACTGGAGAGAAGCCTTATGGATGTAACCAGTGTGGGAAGGCGTTTAGCAGTGGCTCCGACCTTATTCGACATCAGAGAAGTCATTCTTCAGAGAAACCGTATGAATGTAGTAAATGTGGGAGGGCGTACAGTAGGAGCTCATCCCTGATTCGACATCAGAGTACACATCCTGAAGAAAAAGCCTGAGGTGATTTTTTGGTGTGCGTGTGCATGTACATTTCCCAGGCTAGCCTTGAATTCCTGGGCTTCAGCACTTCCTGCTTCAGCCTCCCATGTAGCTTTTCTCTGTGGCTGTAAAAGCTGTAAGAACGAGGCTATCAAAGAAGCAGTGAGAAGCCTGGGAAATTATAGATGTCTTTGACTTATGATGGGATTACTTCCTGTAAACTCTTCATTAATTGAAAATATCATAAATCAGAAATATGTTTTATCTGGGTGTGGTAGTACATACTGTAACCCCAGCATTTAGGAGGTGGAGGCAGGAGAATTCCCTTGAGTTTGAGGCCAGCCTTGGCTACACAGTAAGTTCAAGGTCAGCCTGAACTGTATAGTGAGACCCTGTCTCAACCCCCCCCCCCAAAGGTGTCATACACCTAACCTACCAAACATCAGCATGGTACAGTGTACCGTGTTAGTTGTTAAACCTCTTGTGTGGCTGACTGGGAGCTTCAACTTACTACTACTGCTTAGCATTATGAGGGTATCATGGTGCTTATCACTAACCTAGAAAAGATGAGTTGAAGTAAAACTTGTATTGGTTGCATATTGCTTTTATATCATTGCACAGCCAAAAAATCCTGTCAGGTCATTGTAAGTTGGCAAGAGCCTGCATTTGTCCTTAACTTCTGGGTATGTGAAACCACTAGGTTATGTGTCCCAGTTTGAAAGCCAAAGAGCAAAAGTCCTTGGTGACTTGATGTGAGGATTTGAAATTTATCGAGACAAGCTCAGGAAGATTGGATTAGTTTTTGTAAATGAAAGCTATTTTTTATTTGATATTTTACTTCTAGTGTAGCTTTGAAAATACTTCACTGGCCATATGTGATAAAATAGAATTATAGGCTGGGCATGGTGGCTCACACCTGTAATCCCAGCACTTGGGAGACTGAGGCAGGAGGATTGCTATGAGTTCAAGACCAGCCTGGACTACATAGTGAGTTCCAGGTCAGTCTCAACTACATAGTGAGACCCTGTCTCAAAAAACAAAAACAAACAAACAAAAAGAATTATAAAGTCCATTTTTGTGGATGGGTTTTTGCACCTGACTTAAAGTCACATGAAGGAAGAGTTTGAGTCTGTTCCTCAGAACTGGAACCATCATAAAGGTTTTTCCTGGTGGACGATGGTGCCACATTTACCTTACAGAAGCTTGTGAGTGAGAATGAAGAAAGTCTTAGATGGCTGAAGATAACATTCATAATGGTGTGGAGCAGTTGTTATTTCCATGTTGTCTTCTTGGATATTAAGATAATGGTGTGAAGATCTAATACAAGCTGAGGGAGAAAGAACCAGGAGCTACAGAAGGATGAGGAACTTCAGAGCAGGGAGAAATTTTGTATTTGAAAATAAATTGTCTATATTTATATGAATAAATTCATTTTTGTGTAATGTGTGTAACAAGCTTTGGAATACATGTCATTATAAACTGAATGTATCAACTTAAAATTCCTATGTTGAAATATGATAGTATTTGGACCCCCCCAAGTGTGATGGTGTTTGGACCCCCATAGTGTGAAACCCCACCCTGTGTGATGGTGTTTGTAACACACCCCATGTGATGCTATTTGAACCCCTTCAGTGTGAAGGTATGTGACCCCCTCATGATAGTATTTGAAACCTCCCTCCCCAGTGTAATGATATTTAGTAATGAGGCATCAGGGCTAGATGAGTTCGTGATTGGGGCCTTCATGGCAGATGTATTGCTCTTACAAGAAGAGACACCAGAGAGCTTGTTCTCTCCATGACCATGTGAGAACTCAAAAAGACAGTCATCTGCAAATGAAGAGGATCACTCGTGAGAAAGAACCTGACCAGGCTGACGCTCTGGCCTGACTTCCAGTGTTCAGAACTGGGGGCATTTCTGTTGTTTTAAGTCATACAGTTTATGGTATTTTGGCACCCTGAGCAGACTTAGGTATGGGCAACCCTTGGGTTTCCATACTGGGTCCTTTTCCTTTCACCTGTAATAGTTGTCATCCCCTCTTTCCAACTTGTGTGAAATATGTTATAAATAAAATCAGAGGTGTATTTGTAATTATGTACAGTCAGGTTCTTCTGTGTAAGTTTTCTTTCTGCAAAAGCTACTTTTGAAAATACCTGCATCTTGTTGGGATAACTTTATGGAATGTGTGACCACAGGGGTTAGGTCAGTCTAAGTGTGAAAACCAAACTGAGGGGTGAACAGGATAGTACAACATCTAATTTCTATTTTAACTGCCCTTTCAGATATGTAAAGGAAGCATTTTTAAAAAACAATTTGGAGAAAATGGGAGTGCAGAGAGTGGAGAAGGCTCATGGAGAGGCATACCTTTTTCCTTCCCCTTCTTACGCATCTGCACCTTCTACCCTTGTTCGTTCCTCTGGCATCTTCCAGGTTGTCTCCAGATCCCTGGGAATGTACCTGAAGAGTGGGAGGAGCAAGAGGATGCACTGTCCACCTTACATACTTTCACCCATCTCACCTGATTGCCTACTGCATTTCTTGCCCCTCTTGGTGATTTCAAGAGTGCCCTGGGATGGCAGTACACTGCCAAATAAAGCCAATTTGGAATTGGATATAAGAATTGCCTTGTTTCTACTCAGAAATCCTCATCTTGTTAGGCCCATCCACAAAACTTTTCTGTAGCACTTAGAGGCATTTCTGAAGGCATTATGGCCTGAGTTCTAGGGCAAAATGTCTGGTTCTGGGGCATTCCAAAATAGCAGGATCAGTCACCCATCCCAGAATACCAATGAGGGAGACAAACTGTAGTGAAGGTCAGGAAAGAAGCTTTAATCAGTGCAGCCACACTGGGGACAACAGGAGCTGACAAGTTTTGGGGTTTTATAGAAGGGGGAACAAAGGCAAGGATTGGGGTTTCCATAGCTGGGAGATTTGCAGAGCTGACAGTATTCATTATCCCAGGCAAGTTGTGGTCTGGTCAAACAGTATCTCAGGACCAGTTCTGTCAGATCCTGGAGGAACTATCATCCTCTGAGGGGGAAATCAGATGATAGCTCCTGCTTTGCAAGGCAGCCTCAGTTCCCATTTTGGAGTAGTTATTTGCTCTTGCTGATTGGCTTCATCATGGAGTTTGCAAGGCTCTTCTGCAATCCAAGGTGGCTTCAAGTTGAGCACAAAGACTTGAGACTTATGGACCTGGTTGTAAGGGACCTGGAACTCGGGATTGTGAAAGTTGGCAATTAGATGTTGTCTTGGTTATTTTTCTTGTTACTGAGACAAAATACTTGATACCCAAAGTTAAAGGAGGGAAAGTATATTGTAGCTCATAGTTCATAGAAGTTTCATTCTGTCATTGGCTGGCTCCAAGTCAGGGTGGCCTGCCAAAAGGGCATCAGAGGGGAGGAACAGTTCATGGTGGGCAGAAGGCAGCAAAGCAGCAATGTAGAAAGAAGCAGCAAGTGACCAGCAGTAAGTGGTGGCAGCAGCTCTCTTCCTGTCCCTTATATTCTAGCAAGGCTATATGCCCTTAGGGAGGAGAGCACTCATACCCAGGATGGGTCTTCACATTATCCACATCCAGAACTATGCCACACCAATCAGTGGAATAATGTAGTAACCAAATGCACCTTTGATCCCAGCATTACATTCTTAATCCCAGCATCACACACTCTAGATCCAGCCTCCTCTGAAAAAACCCCACTTAGGACCACATGAGGCTTGGAGGACATCTAGACACAAGCCACAACAGATGTCCTTGCAAATCCTGAAAATCAGCTACTCTTCGGTCTTGAAGGAGGATGAGATATGTTAGGTAAAAGAAGGACAAATATGTTTTGTCCCTATGTGATTAACCTGTGCTGAACAGGGATCAGATCCCCATTTTCACATGATAAAGGAGACATATAAAACAAAGAGGCTCTGGTCTTTGTTCTGCTTTTAGGTGCTCATTGGGCATCTGCAGGCCTTGTCTCCTAGTTTCAGCATCATCTTGGCAAAAGAACTGCAGGCTCATTTGTGTTCCAATCTGCTGGGATCTTAGTTATTTCCTAAAGATTTCCATTCTTTCTCTGGGTTTGTGCATGTGCATGCGTGTGTGTGTGTGTGTGTGTTTGTGTACATAGTGGAGAATGAACCCAGGGCCTCACAACCGCTAAGTACACACTACCACTGGGCTGTACTCTCAGCCTCTCCATCCTTATTTTATTGTTTTTATTATGCTGCTAACTTTCAGCTTCATTGCTCAGATTTTTTCTGATTTGTTCAGGAGCAAATTGAAGTCCTTGCCTTGAGACTTTTTCTTTTACAGCAGGCACGAAGTGCAGTTATATTTCTAGGTACATCTGTAATTACACTGTTATGGAAGGAATTCATAAATGATACACAGAGAGGCACAGAATGGAACTAAAATAAAAACGTTTATTTTGTGAACAAAGGTCGATTGCACTTAAAGGCAGTGCCAGGATTGACCACGTATTGGGCTATAGCTTCCCCTTGTATAGGGTTAAAGCCATGATCTCATTCAGGTGGTTACATTTCATTCTCAGTTCACATTGCTGATACACAAATCATGGTTCCAAGGCAGTTAAATTTCAACCCAGATGTAGCAATTCTTTGTAGTTAGGGAGTCTATCTTTAAGATTCTTCCGGCTATTCTAGCCCAGGGGAAGTGGGTGTTCCCAGTCAGTGAAGCAAAGTTAATAATTCTTTTCATCTTGACCTTTACAACCATATGGTTTACAAAACTTTGGAGCTCAGGGGTCTGGATGTGCCCTGTTACTCAGGATGAGGCCAGATACCTTATTCAATGGTTAATGCCTCCTGTGCCTGTTAATTCTGAACTAAAGAAAGCAAACTGCTGTTAGGGACAGCATGTCATTCTACATTGCGACATTTTGTAGGTTTTTGCTATTTATAAAAGTTTTCTCTATCGATATATAATAATTGGTACTATTGTGCATCACACACATTTTGATATGCCCTGTTCTTAGTTTCATTCTATTTAAAATACTATTTTCCCTTTTCACTTCTTGTTTGATCCATGGGTTAATGAGAAGTGCAACTTTGCTCTAAAACTTGGGCATTTTCCAGTTAAATTTCTATTAGTGATTTCTTAATTAATCCATTCTGGTCAGATAATATTTTGTATAGCTTGAATCCTTTTAAAGAACTTGAGATACATGTAAAGGCTGTATGGCCCATTGGGGAACAATTACCGGACATGGTTTTAGGAGGTCCTCCCCAAGAAAAAGTGAGTTCCACAACTTGGCCCATGGAGTAGGTTCATCTTCTTCTTTTTTTAGT